CTCTGACCTTGGATATTTTCTTGCAGATGTTTCATGACCCAACTAGGGAACATCATCAGTGCTAGAAGGAGAGGGGTTTTCAGAGAAGAGGAAGAAGAAGAGGAGGAGGACTATGGGGTCCTTGGTGCTCTCTGACCTTGGTTGTTTTCTTGCAGACTTTTTATGACCCAGCTAGGGAACATTGGGGATAAAGGGGGGAGGAATAATAAAGAGGAAGACAGTGACTGTGGGGTCCTTGGTGCTCCCTGAGCTGGGTTGCTTTCTTGCAGACGTTTCATGACCCAGCTAGGTAACATCATCAATGCTAGAAGGGAGTGGGGTTTGTGGAGAGGAAGAGGAGGGCTCTTGGGTCCTCGGTGCTCTCTGAACCGGGTTTTTTTTCTTGCAGACTTCTCATGACCCAACTAGGTAATGTCATCAGTGCTAAAAGGAAGTTGAGTTTGCTCTCTGGTTATACAAACAATGGTAAATAACAGTTTATATGAAAAAAATAAATAAATAAAATAAAATAATTGAAATAACTAAAATAATACATAAAATAAAATAATACATGATAAAATAAAATATATACAATAAATAAAATAATAGATAAAATAATAGATGAAATAATTAAAACAAAATAATAGATAAAATAAAGTAGATAAAATAAAACAAAACAAAACAAAACTGAGAAATGAACAATCCAGGGGAAGGACCTCATGCCACCTACCCGACACAGCTCCGAGTTTAAATGCCTGTTTGCTGTATGTTATCTTTATTTTCTGCCCTGAATTCCTACATACAGGCAGTCCTCGACTTACAACGGTTCGTTTAGTGGCCATTCAAAGTTACAACGGCATTGGGAAAAGCGAGTTATGACCGTTTTTCACACCTACAACCCTGGCAGCAAATCCCCCATGGTCACGGGATCAAAATTCGGACTCCTTGGCCACCGGCTCCTATTTACGACGGTCGCAGTGTACCCCAGGGGTCACTTGATTCCCCCTTTGGTGACCGCCTGACTAGAAAAATCAATGGGGAACTGGTGTCAGGCCCCTGTCAGAGTCGGAATCCGAGGAGGAATGGGCCCTGATTCCCTTCGTTAGCCATAGCTGAGAAGAGAGTTGATAAGTTGTAGGGGGCGTGCATAAGCGCACCATCGTGCCTACCGTCCCTGTCCTATTGTTTCTCTTATTCTTTTATTTTTCTTATATGTACCCATTTCATGTATTCACAACTATGTATACACTTATACTTATTATCTTGTAAACAATTGGCAAATCAAATAAATAAATAAATAAATAAAAATAAAGAAAGGGAGGCTGCTGGAAGAAAACGTGACTTTATCCTGTGTTGTCGTGACTTATCTGTGTTCCTGGCATCTTCCCAACCGTGCGAGTTTTGCCATGCTTTCAAGCCTGAAATTCTTGTTCCTGCCCTGCCAACCAATTACTTCAGTTTGGCTTGTTTGGACTTTAAGTTACAGTTTGTGTTGACCACGTTTTGGACTTAATTCTCTGCAGTCAAAGAGTGAGGACCCAAAGGGGTGTGGCACAACAACAACAAAGTCACAAAAGTAGGTAAAGTCCCTTTAATTCCTCCAACTTGGCCCCCAATGTCCAATTATCATCAGATGGAGAAAAAAACTCTCCCGAGAACAGTTTTTTAAAAGGGAAGAAATTCGGTCCGAACCCAAAGTACATATAAATTATCAATAAAAACCAACACAAACCACAGCTGCAGCAATGAACAAGACAGGGCAGGATAAGGAATTACAGACTTCAAAAGATAACAAAACACACACAGCTGGGAGGACGCCAGAACTCAGATATGACTTGGCAAACCAAATTAATTCACGCTTTGCTTTCAGCAAGGTGCTGTGCGCAAACGCCCTTTTTAAATCCTGTTTTCCCAGCTGCAGCTAATGAAGGAAATCAAGGCCCTTTTCTCCCCCGTAAGCCATGTTGCTCCCTTATCTGTTCCTCCCTGTGTGGCCTAGGATGCAGAGCGCCTGGGCCTGGGTCTTCCTTTGAATGCCCAGCCGGCCTGTACCCTTCCCCCATTTCCTCCACAGCCCCCAGAGCCACACTCCCACTCCCTGTCAGCTGCTCG